CGATTTTTTCAATTATCGCCAGGTTTTTGGTCAGATGGAGGCAGTGTGCGTCGTGTCAACAAGAAGCGTTCAAGAGGTAGTTCAAGCGTTCAAGCAACGAAGCGTTCGAGAGGTAGTGGCGTACATGACGCAGCTTGCGGGACTTGGTGTTTCGTGACTTTCACCGCGGGTCCGCCCGATGCTTTGCCATTTGGTTGCAATTGCCCGTCGTTGGTGTTCGTGTCCTCCTTCAACATCCACCTGCCTGGTTTCGTAATAATAAAGGAAGAAAAACGCTTCCAAATGAATTGCAAACAAGCTATTGAAAATGAACATGCAATTGGATGATTTTAAGAAAATAAACATTTTGGTCTCCCAGATCCGTCTCCGGATTAGGTGGATCAGGGCATCAATTGATGACACTGCAGTGCCTTTTAGGGGTAGGTTCTAGGTTTCGATTCCCGACGGTGCCACGTTTTTGAGATTAGATTGATATCTAGGTTGAATTCAGCTTCTGCCTCGAGGAGAATTCTACCAATCGGCAGCTCTGCTCGGGAGTTTTCCGTGGTTTCTCCGAACAATACCAGTCGAATGCCGGAGCAGTACCCTAACAAACGGACCATGGACCGCCTGCGACCTTTCCTCCCTCTTCATTATTCTATCCTCATCCTTACTTGCACACACTAATATTACACATGCACTACACTACTACACATCGCAGGAGACCATTCGGGAGTTCAGAGCTTGTTCGGACTATGGCGGTTCCCCGCTGGATAGGAGAAAACACAGCAAGTCAAGATGTGTAGATCGGCGCCGTATCGCGTTATCAAGTGAGTGAAGATCACCGCCACCTCTTAAACATGCACTACACTGACGGGACCAAAGACCTTAACAGATGTCGCGCGCATAACCACTAATCAATCAGTCAAATGACTTTAAATGAAATACTCACGTTATTGAATTTAAACTAAATTAAATTCATGAGGTTATGCAATCAGAATTCCTTCCAATTGAGTTACCCTTCATGAAGCACTTTGCGTGTGTTTTGCGAATGCACCTTTCTGTCAGAGATATGGCATATTATTTTGGAAAACACCTTAATATTACCTAGTTAATATTGTATAAGTCATTGTACGATTTTTGAAATTCAATTGCATTAAATATCACCTCCGAAAGCGCAATTCAAACCAGGTGCCGCACCACTGCAGACATGCCGGCGTGAAACCGAATGAAGACTGTGAAGAAGACCCCCGCAGGAGGGAAGCGACGATCGCAGGGTCTGAGGTGCCCTGGTGGAAACCGGAAATGCCCACACAAGCCCTAGGTTCTCGGCAGAACTCACGTCGTAAGTGCCAACGTGGGTGCAATGAAGAGGCGAGGCTAATCTCCTGTTTGCAGGGCCCGGCAACCCACCAGTTGTGCCCCCCCCCCCGAACTTTGGGCAGGATTGGGCGCGGGATTTGTACGCAAACTGACAAACAGAAAACCGTCAAGAATCCGAATCTCCGTTACTACTCACGTTACTCCGCTATTCACTGCTCGTTACACTTTACTACGACACTCACGTTAATAGCGTCAATGTGGATGCAGGGAACAGACATGATGGGGGCCCCGAGCCACTTGCACTTTGGTCCGGGCAGTCCCGACTTAGACACTTAGCTTCGTCGTGGGAGAGCCCGAAACTCGTGGGTTATAGAGTAGGGACTCGTTTCAGCACGTTGTGGTTGCCGCTTAATTAGAATCCGGTGCTAGAACAGCTGGTAGAGTTCTGTTCTGCCAGAGAGGCTCTACCCAGGCTTAAGGGAGGAGAACCCCGATCGGGTGCTGCGTTCCTACGTATCCGGATACCAGCACCAAGGGCCCATGCAGGCCTATGCTGTGAGGAAGACATCACTTGCCACGTACAAGAGAACTTTGGTATTATCACGTGTTTCATATATGCTACTAACTCAATCTATTAAATTTACTTCATACTACACCGTAATGAAAATCACGGTATGCAGCGGCATATAAATGAATTCATAACACGATGCAGGACTTAAGCAAATTAACTAACCACCTGGAATGCTTGAATTATTATTTTAAGCATAGGTGTGCGTGTGTGAACTAGTTTCTTATTCTACATAAGGTTGTGGTACCTACATAAATGATAGCTCACTTCTGTTATTTATATCATGACATATACTAAAAGCGTTTAACAGCTAAAATGTTCTTGCCCAGAAGTAATGAATAAATTCAGTATTTTCATGAACGGAGTTCGTACTACTTCGACCGCTCGGTCTCAAATAAACTTCAAACAACCTCTTAACCGTAACTGCTGGTAATTCAATACAAAAACCTTGGGCGTGATTACTCAGGTCATTGAAATTTGTGCCATGCTGACTAGTTTTCTCATTACTCTGGTATACAACTTGTTTTGGAGGGAACTTGACCAATGGCCGCTGTTGCCAATTTTTGAAAAGAAATCAAATATCCTCCGCAAGAGAAAATTGTGAAATACAATCCAAAATTAAATTTTGAACCCGAAAGATATTAAATCATTTTAAACTCCAACAATTGCGCGATTAAATCATAAAATATTTGAAAGAAGTCTTTAGCGTAATAATTTTAACACATCTATGAATCATGGATTCTATGAAAATACGTAATATTTTGCTGCTGCTACAAACCACATTATAAGGGAAGCGAGGAACCATAAGCCTCTGGAACTTTTCATTACGTCACGCATTGAAGACAATGTCTAAGTCGCTCTTATTAAATTCAAAAGTGAAAGCTGACTAACAAGTACCATTATTACACAAGATAAAAACAATATCACTCGGTTTTACAGTACGAGTGAAACAAAATTTGAATTATCATTCCAAAATTTCACCCATTTCAGTTACGAGCGATTTCGATGCTGCCTACTCAAATACCAATGCGTAAGCTGGCCAATTACCAAAGCCAAAGCGTCGCTGGATGTTTGCACGTTAGGTCCTCCATTTTTCTGGACATTAAACACTGCATTGGCCTGCCTTTGCCTTGTAATGTATGACTGACAGTGGTGGTGAAAAAGATGGTGAATAATATAAGATCATTATGAAGGGAATGACGATTTACTTCGTGTTCGACCAGTGGTAAGTGAAGAACACCAGTATCGCATTTTGAAAAACGCCCAATCACTTTTGCAGGACTCAAACGGAAGTACATGGAGATCTATGGAACAGTTGCCTGAAGATGAAATGTTGTAGGTGCATGATCGAGCGGCACCACAAAGCCCAATGCCTTTGTTCTGACAGCTACCGTTAACACCCGTCGTACATACATGATTTTGATTTTTCCGTAATTTTAATGATTCAGATTGACAAATTTACTAATTAACTAGTTGTTAATTTGACTGGACGGTTTGTCTATTCACCTTACTCTCGCATAAATTCCTTTCTGAATTCCCTTCCTAAGAGAACATTCAACTGTTATCATATTTCCCCTCGTACACACAATCCTCTCGATCGCGGTACTTTATGCCGTGTAGTATATCGAACACGGTATCCAAGGCAATACCAAGCAATAGCGTACCAGTAAACAATAAAAAAAAGTATTTCTCCACTCGACTAAAAAATTGCCAATTTCTGAGTGCGCCACTTTTTTGTGCCCTGACGTTAGTACGTTTACAGCAATTTTAATGATTCAGACCGACTTATTTACTAATTAACTAGTTGTTCACTGATACGCACAAAGGCAAGGGTGTGCAAATTGTTTTTGTTTTTTTTTATAACGGAGACACCGCCCACGCCCCCCTCGCTGCCCCGCTCCACGTGAGCCACCTCCCCGATTTCGCGCCTTCTGCGGCGAGCCGTTC